AATTGCATATAGAACACGAATTACAATAAAAGTCGCAACTGAATTTAAAGAGGTAGTGTATAAGTATTCTCACTCTTGCTTGTGCTAAAACACATAAAACATAATTAGACATGGACAAACCAACAGCTAGATATAAAATTTCTGGCTATTTCATAAATCTAAAATAAAACGAAAGATGTTTCTCTCTTAGTTTTAAAGTCCGAGTCACCAGAAATTAAAGCAGTTAAGCCACAAATATTTCATGCAGCCTCCAACTGTTTCTTTTCCCTAAAACAAAAGCTACAGGCAAAAAATTTAAGTACAAATGAAAAAAACTTAAGAGTGATAACTGCCAAAACAACTCATTGTGAGGCCTGCTGTGGCAGAAAAAATCAACAACAATTTTCAGAATACTGTACACCTATAAATTCACTACAATCAATGAATGCAAAAGGCAAAAGAAATTGGATTACAAATGTAACCAACAGACGTACCTTGAGTGCAGAAATATCAAAATCAAAGACATTCCCGTTGTACACAATGGTTATTTTTCAGCATTCTTCAGTCCATAACTCGGCCTAAAAAAACAGAGAAAATGTTTGATAAATTTTATAAATTACAAAAACACAGTAAATATGATCAATATAAATATACATACCTCAATGGTGAGAATCAAGTCTGAATAGGTTTATTCGGACCCAAAGCAGCAGATTGAATGACAGTCTTCACAATCTCTTATTAAGCTTCCATACAATACCTCGTATGTCCACACTCCAACAATAAAATAAACACATAATACAATAACATTATATAACTTATCTAAAAGTTAAAACAACCGTACATAAGCACCTAAAGGTTCATCCTGCAAAATAGAAGCAGAAGTAAAATTAGCAATAAGCAAAACATAATCAATGAATATTGAATTGACAAAGCTGAAGAAACTCTTAAACGTATATCATCGTGCACTGAGGCAACTTTATCTTCTGTTAAGTCTACTTTGGAGCCATCATCGATCTCGTTAACTTCTGCATCATCATCTCCATCCTCGGCTATGAACACAATACCCAAACTTTGGAATAGGTTTTTGTAGAAGATCTGACCACAAAATCTGAAAATTATGAGATGAGAGTATTCTTTGGATTTGAATTCCAAAAAGGGTATAATGAATAAAAAATCAAATCACAATACCAGAACATTGAAAGAACGACTACAACCCAGGATTTTTGTGGAAGAACTGAAAATAATCAGATGAGAATATACCGCTAAGATTTGGGTTCGAAGAACTGTAAGAATGAGAAGAAAGCCTCGTAAAATCAATAACCCCAATGACAGATAAGGAACCAGCAACAATTTTCGCGAAAGAATCAGTCTCCGTGTACGCATAGAGACATGGTGTTTCCGTGTGCACACGAAGACACCATGTCTCCAAGCAACACGGAGCAGCGCACACATAGTGCCCGTGCCGTGGAGAATTTTTTTTAAGGTGATCAATGAGGATAATTAAGCTCATTTTCTT